CAAACATCGATGAGACAGTTAATTAATGTACTTATTGCAGCAGTCTGCATAGATTGGTACCCCTGCTGGTCTAAGAGTGAAACAAACTCATTCAGTTATTGTTCAGTTAAAATTCATTAAATTACGTCTGCCACCTTGTAAGGCTTTACTGATGTGCCACAATAATATCACCTATGTGATTGAGTTAAAATATTAATATTGTGGCTTTCCAAGTTAACATTGATTGTAGGGGTGTAACGGTTCACAAACATTTCGGTTCGGTACGTACCTCGGTTTTTAGGTCACGGTTCGGTTCGGTACGTTTTCGGTACAGCAGAAAAAATTATCACAAAACATTAAATATTTTTTTTAATTATTATTAAACTGTGACTAATGTATTCAAATAAATACAAAATATAGTAAAATAAACATTAAGGTGCAGCATTTCGATGAACTGAAATAATCTGTATTTGAACTGTACTAGTACCTAAGCAGCCAGCTTGACATTAGGACTTGCTTGTCATTGTATTTTCATGTTGTTTAAAGAAAGATGAACTTGTCCACATTGCTTGCCGAAAGGGCAGATCTGCTGGCACTAACAATGTCTCCTGCTGTGGAGAACACCCTCTCTAGGGACAGCGGTAGCAGATACAGCCAGGTAGCACTTTGCTAACATGGCAACATAAGGATATTTGGCGTTTGTAATAGCTTTGGCTCGGTCTGAACTCTTTGCGAGTGGTGGAGGCTTACATGCTAGTGGGAGTTGGGTTTGCACTTCAGTCTTTTTTCTTTTGGTACCGGTGATATTCACGTTCGGGTGATGCCTTTTCAAATGAGTGTGATGTATTGCCAGCCGCGTAACCAATGTTAGTTGAACAATGCCGACAAACAGCTTTGGTTCGGTCCACCTGTCTTTGTCCGTCATCCTTGTACGTAACTGCGAAACCAAAATGTTCCCAAACCGGAGACTTCAATGATGCCGGAGGATTTTCGAGCTCAACTTTATCTGCGTTCGCCATTTCGACAGTTCCTCAAATTACTGACTACATTTGAACGCATCCCTGTGACCAGCTCTCATAGTATGCCTCTCGTCCAATGAAATGACTTGGTCGCTCTATGATATAGATTACTTCCAGAAAGTTGTTCATGTTCTCAATTTTTTACGTTTAACGCTATATTAGTTCGGTACACACGTGTACCGAACCGAAGGGCCCGTACCGAATAATTTCAGTACGGGTACGTGTACCGTTACAACCCCTAATTGATTGATATGATTGCGATTTAAATCAGCATATACTTCTGTCAGGGGGATGCCACCCTCAAAATCTCCTGCCACCCTCTTGCCACCCCATGAATATTTGTCTAGATCCGCCCCTGATTATTGACCAACATAATCTTGATTATTGCCATAATCGAGCAGCCCTAGTGTGTGTGTGTGTGTGTGTGTGTGGTGTGTGTACGTGTGTGTGTGTGTGTGTGTGTGTGTGTGTGTGTGTGTGGTGTGTGTGTGTGTGTGGTGTGTGTGTGTGTGTGTGTGTGTGTGTGTGTGTGTGTGTGTGTGTGTGTGTGTGTGTGTGTGTGTGTGTGTGTGTGTGTGTGTGTGTGTGTGTGTGTGTGTGTGTGTGTGTGTGTGTGTGTGTGTGTGTCTAGAGAGAGTGTGACAAGAGCTATATTCAGACTGAGCTCTGCTGCCTTGGCTACACTATTTCATCGTTGCTGTTGTATGATTGGTGTTTAGCTACGGTATTTAGCGTCTACAGCACCTCCGCTTTTAGGGTTGACGTAGACCCAAACTTCGCCCGGAGGTCCCCCCGGTGTTGTTGCGGGAGCTGCTGCACTAGCTAACACTCCACTAGCTAACGCTGCACTAGCTGCTGCTGCACTAGCTAACGCTACATTAGCTGCTGCTGCACTAGCTAACGCTCCACTAGCTAACGCTCCACTAGCTAACGCTGCACTAGCTAACGCTACATTAGCAAAACAAACACTAATTTATTTGCAAAAGGTGCAGCGGGCTTCAAACACGTTCCCTCCACTGGTTTCAACCAAGCACTAAATTAGATGTTTTCCAACCAAATACGGTTGAACTTACACTTCCCCATATTTATTTGTAAGTAGATTCGAAGATAGGCTACATGAGCTGAAGCTTGGTTGCTAGGTTACTAGCTGGGTGTTCTCCAATAAGGGGCCGGGGGAAACAAAGTTAGTGATTACTGGTTCCATGTTGATTTAATTCAATACAAATTGTTGGGGGGAACTGAAAGGCTATTACCGTACTGGTTACTTTGCAGCCCGGACATTTCCCCCAAAACACATTTAGACGCTATCGCAACACAGAAGTACCTTTCAAATCCGATAATTTTTAAGACCTTCTGAATCATATTTAAGACCTTTTTAAGGCCTTAAATTCTGATTATCAAATTTAAGACTTTTTAAGACTTGTTAAGACCCCGCGGGAACCCTGATTGTAACTTTTTTTAATTGTCTGAACTTCTCCCACCTCTGACAATAAATCCTGAGTGTTTACCCTGCTCTGAAGGTTATTTTCATTTTACAAATCCTGCACTCAGCTTTGCTTTCTCCAATATCATTGAAAAGCAGCCAGATGCTGCTTCTTTTTTCGGTTTTCGCTCATTTCTTGACTTTTTCCGACGCGCTTGCATTTAAATCCGTCTCCCCGTCGCTCTGTGCAGCTGGCCTGTACCACTACACATGCTGTGCCCCCACCCTTCTTTCACATAATGGTATGATCCTAGTGTGTCCTCGCATATGATTGGCCGCATGGTGGGCCAGCTAAATAAAGACCCGCCCCTGCCTGCAAGGATTCTCAGCAAGAGTAGGAGCGGCTGAAGATTCTGCTTTCCCCGACGGGAGTCTGCTCTTCTAACGGCAGCTCGCGATCGGCGTGTTGGAGACCTCTGAATTAAAGTAGCAAGTCACCTCAAGTCAGAAGGCTCAAGTCCAAGTCAAGTCCCGAGTCATTGGTGTTCAAGTCCAAGTCGAGTCGCAAGTCTTTTGTGATGTTGTCAAGTCGAGTCTCAAGTCATAAAATGTGTGACTCGAGTCTGACTCGAGTCCAAGTCATGTGACTCGAGTCCACACCTCTGCTATGTTCCATCTGAATTTACTTTAAAATAAAAACATCTATATTGATTCTGACACTTCTACATCCAACTCACAGATGTAACCTTGCTTTGAGAAAAATAATTATTAATTTACCCCTTTTAGAAGTGAAGATATATAATTTGTTGTGTTAGTGGCATTTTCGAGCCTGAAACCTGAAAAACAGGCTCAGGGCTTAACTGGTTAACAAAGCATTTGTCCAGGATATTGTCTTTCCTGCTGTGATCCCTAACATACTGCTGGAACCCAGGTAACACAGTCTCCAGGCGACATTGCTTCATGTCCCCGAGCACTATTGCCGGTGCATCGGGGTGGCTGAGTTGCAGCTCGTGAACACAGTGTCCTCTTCCGCTGGGAGGCACGTAAACAACAAACAGTAAAATACACCCAAATTCTCTAGGCAGATAAAAGGGTCTTAACGTCATGCCGATAATTTCTACGTTGGGATTGCAGGTTTTACATTTACTGAGTATGATCGGCACCACAGATCATTAATATACACACAAATACCACCTCCTCTGGTTTTCCCCGAGTTCGCATCCCTGTCTGCTCGAACAAGGGTGAGTCCGGGTACTTCAAAGAGAGATTCAGGCATCGTAGATTGTAGCCAACTTTCCGTGAAACATAATAAAGAGGCCTCGAGAAATTCAAGACAGTACCTTGTATATGTCCTTAGTGTGTCCACGTTGTTGCTCAATGAGCGCAGGTTTGTGAGAATGATGGATGGAAGTGGTGGCCGGCTGAATCTCCGCTTTAGGCGATTAATAGGGGGAATAATTGGGGTGTGTGTGTGTGTGTGTGTGTGTGTGTGTGTGTGTGTGTGTGTGTGTGTGTGTGTGTGTGTGTGTGTGTGTGTGTGTGTGTGTGTGTGTGTGTGTGGTGTGTGTGTGTGTGTGTGTGTGTGTGTGTGTGTGTGTGTGTGTGTGTGTGTGTGTGTGTGTGTGTGTGTGTGTGTGTGTGTGTGTGTGTGTGTGTGTGTGTGTGTGTGTGTGTGTGTGTGTGTGTGTGTGTGTGTGTGTGTGTGTGTGTGTGTGTGTGTGTGTGTGTGTGTGTGTGTCCTGCGGTCGCTCGTTAGCTGTTCTAATGAAGGTAAACACAGTGAAGGCGCTGCTGCTGCTCTTCTCAGATTCTGCTGAGTTACACGTTACTGCCTCCTGGTGCTGCAGAGATTTCATGAAGTGAAGGAGGTTTTTCTTCTATAAAGCAGCTGTGGGCAGCAGATACTGAGAGAGTCACAGACATGAATACATAGGTCAAGGCAGACTGGTTCTCAGACTCTCCTGTTTTGCCGATCCGGTGCTTGAACAAATAACTCTACACCCCTGGCCGAAATGTCCCTAAAATGAAGTCTGAGTTTGAAATATATCTCAAATAATGTATGTATTTCCCCACATAAACATAACAGTCTGCAATGAAACGGCTGTCTCCTGTGCGCTCCACTTCCTACTTTCTCCTGCGAACGAGAAGAGACTTTCTCTTTTTTTTCTTTCATTGCTCTCTAGGGGCTTCGAACAATGCAAATATTTTATTTTAAAAAGTAAAGTCCTTTCGAGTCATCTGTCTCAAGCCTAAGTCAAGTCTCAAGTCATGAATACCAAGTCAAAGTCGAGTCTTTTATCAATGTTAGTCAAGAAATTCTCAAGTCAAAAAATATGCGAGTCAAGTCATGTGACTCTAGTCAAGTCATGTGACTCGAGTCCCCCACCTCTGGTATATACTTTGTGTTTATTATATTTGTATTATATTTGATACAGTAATACAGCAATATTCTAACCAAACAGTTGATAAGTAGTATTTTGTTAACTCAAGGTTTATATTAAGTGAGTTTTTATTGTGTTAACTTGTGTATTTATGCTTTTTAGATTGACTTTCTCCCTTTCTCTGTCCGTCTGTTCTAGAAACCGAAAGGAAGAGAGAGACGTCACAGCTGTCAGCAATGTGACAAATCCTTTACAGCATCTGGAAATTTAAAGCGCCACCTGCATATTCACATGGGAGAAAAACCGTACAGCTGTGAAGAGTGTGGGACAACTTTCACTCAATCAGGTGATCTCAAAAGACATCAACGTATTCATACTGGAGAAAACCCGTACAGCTGTGAAGAGTGTGGGACAACTTTCAGTACATCAGGTGCTCTCAAATCACATCAACGTATTCATACTGGAGAAAAACCTTACAGCTGTGAAGAGTGTGGGACAACTTTCACTCAATCAGGTGCTCTCAAAAGACATCAACGTATTCACACAGGAGAAAAACCTTACAGCTGTGAAGAGTGTGGGAAAACTTTCACTAGATCAAGTGCTCTAGAATCACATCACCGTATTCATACTGGAGAAAAACCGTACTGGTGTGAAGAGTGTGGGAAAACGTTCACTAGATCAGATGCTCTAGAATCACATCACCGTATTCATACTGGAGAAAAACCTTACAGCTGTGAAGAGTGTGGGAAAACGTTCGCTTCATCAAGTGGTCTAGCATCACATCACCATATTCACACTGGAGAAAAACCGTACTGGTGTGAAGAGTGTGGGACAACTTTCGCTTCATCAAGTGCTCTAGCATCACATCACCGTATTCACACTGGAGAAAAACCGTACTGGTGTGAAGAGTGTGGGAAAACGTTCACTACATCAAGTCATCTCAAAATACATCACCGTATTCACACTGGAGAAAAACCGTACTGGTGTGAAGAGTGTGGGACAACTTTCACTTCATCAAGTCATCTCAAATCACATCACCGTATTCACACTGGAGAAAAACCGTACTGGTGTGAAGAGTGTGGGAAAACGTTCACTAAATCAAGTGATCTCAAATCACATCTTCGTGTTCACACAGGAGAAAAACCATAGTGGGTTTAAGAGTGTAGGATACGCAATTAAGCATATTTGGTTTTTTCACAGTTTACAATAAACAATTCCCATCTATTGGCCTTGTGTTGGTTAATCCTTTTTTATGAGGGGCCGTGTATGCCAAAATTCAAACTCACCTCACACACACACTACTGAAAACATCTGACTTTGCACACACACTACTGAAATACTCTCACATTCACTACTGAACACCTCACACACACACTACTGAAAATTAGGCCTCACACACACACACTACTGAAAACATCTGGCCTTGCACACACACTACTGAAATCCTCTCACATTCACTACTGAACACCTCACACACACACTACTGAAAACATCTGGCCTTGCACACACACTACTGAAATACTCTCACATTCACTACTGAACACCTCACACACACACTACTGAACACATCTGGCCTTGCACACACACTACTGAAATACTCTCACATTCACTACTGAACACCTCACACACACACTACTGAACACATCTGGCCTTGCACACACACTACTGAAATACTCTCACATTCACTACTGAACGCCTCACACACACACTACTGAAATCCTCTCACATTCACTACTGAACACCTCACACACACAATACTGAAAATTAACCTCACACACACACTCCTGAAAAACATTTTACTGAAAGGTTCTCAGTAGGGAATGTGCATGTGTTTCACCTATGTGTGTGTGAGGGGATTCTTGCTCTAACGGAAGTCATTCTTGCTGTAACGGAAGTCATTCTAATGTAACGGAAGTCATCTGCTCGTGGTCTCTTTGCTAGCCCCGTTAGCTTCATTAGCTCCAGGCTGCTACTCGGACGTGTTTGTTGTGTTGATGCCTGGTGGAGTATTCTTCATTGAAATATCGCACTTATCTTATGGCTCTGCGGTTCAAACAGACCGTCTATGAATGCAGTTTATTCGGTAAGTGAAATTCAAGCACTTTATTTCTTACTTGTCTTTTTATTCAGCTAACAAGCGAGACGAAGCTACATCTGTGCTAACGATGCTATCCGTAGCATACAAGTTAAAACATAATAGAGAAGTGTAAAACATTAAGAAGGATTATACTGTAAAACATAAGGCTTCTCGGTGAGGTTGGTAAAAATAAGGTCATGCTTGTACATTAGTTAGTTTGCTAGTTAGGTAACTGTAAATTGTTATTGTTAATTTAAAATAGCTATGCTCGACGATGCAGACAGCTAGCGTCACATTAGTGTTGAAGAGCAGAGTACGGTATGAGAAGATTAACCCATAGATTAACCTCACTATAAGATCTGTGTATCTTAAAAATATGAATCTCACATTTCCAGTTGGTTCCAGAAATAACGTTGACGTAGATATTGCAATATGGTTTGTTGAGCTGGAGTTGATTGTTGAAGCTTACTGGTTAACGTTCATCATATTAAACGAACGAACCCAAACGTTGTTGTTTTTATTAATATTATTACCCATACTTACTTAGCATTTTATTATCATTACACTGGAGAAACCGATTTATTGTGGCAGAAGAACGTGAACATGTAATTTAATGCCTGCATTTGAGGACGAAAAATAGCTCAGTCAATGCTTTAGGGACAAGGAAATGATTTGTTTAAATATTAGATATGACGTTATGTGTGCTTCTGTGACAATGAAGCTTATTCATTGCATTACATTTGTTGAAGTTGTTTGTCTTTTACCCTTACGTGTGTGTTACAAATGAATGTGAATATGGCATAGTACAAATATTTAAATTGACTGTCATGAAAAACGATTCTAAAATAAAAAGGACCCCAAAGTGAGTCAGCAAAACTTTCAATAATAATCTAAGGTATTGAGTTTTGGGATGTTACTTGCATACACATCTATAAATGCCTTAAGGTTTCTAAAACATACAATATGTGGTAAATTCAACAGTGGACCCAGCAAAGATTCACATTTTTGCATGATTTTTGTTATTGATTTGTTGCTGTTACTTAATTATACTTTTAATAAATTCAAGTCAATCAATCAATCAATGTTTATTTATATAGCCCAATATCACAAATGTTACATTTGTCTCAGTGGACTTTACAGTTTGTACAAAATATCAGTATGACAATACGACACCCTCTGTCCTTAGACCCTCACATCGTACAAGGAAAAACTTCCGAAGAAAACCCACAGTTTAAAGGGAAACATGGGAGAAACCTCAGGGAGAGCAACAGAGGAGGGATCCCTCTCCCAGGACGGACAGACGTGCAATAGATGCCGTGTGTAAATTGAAAAGATAATACATTTGCAACATAGGTAGTCCAAATGTTTGGAAATGCATGTGTGTATAATAGGAAGATGAATCCACGAGGATATCCATCCAGGACCTATGATCCAGGACCACAGCCACGACTCAAGATCCAGGGAATTTTAAATTCTATCCTGTGTTCTATAGGGAGCCAGTGTAAGGCAGCCAGAACAGGAGTAATGTGGTCCCTTTTCCTAACTCTGGTTAGTACACGAGCTGCAGCATTTTGAATCAGCTGAAGCGACTTGACTGACTTCTTGGTACACCCTGATAATAAAGAGTTACAATAATCCAGCCTTGAAGTAACAAATGCATGGACTAGTTTCTCTGCATCGTTTTGAGGCAAGTCAAGCTTAGTTACATGTGATGGTAGCTATATGATCTTACCTGTGTGCCTCCTCCGCAACCAGACTGTATTCAAACTCTTAAGTACCAGTTCTATCTACTTTAAACAATTAAAAAGACAAAATCAACTACAATTATTGATATACCAATCTTTATTTTTTGGGCCTCTTCTTTTAAATTAAACTTTCAGACATGAGATATTGAAATACAGTAATAGTTTTGTCTATTTAAAAAATAATGAGCCATTCCTTACAGTTAACTTCATATTTCTTATTGTCTAAAGCATTTATGACACACATTTCCCCCTCATATTCACAGTGTGGATCAATTGAGACAGCGTCCAGAGACTTTGGGAGAAACCTCAGCATGACGGATGTCCTGTCTGTGGGTTTGGCTGGAGAGGACTGAGGTGGAGAGGTCTTTCTCTGGGAGGAGGACCAGGCCTGATGGAGGAGGACCGGGCCTGATGAAGAAACCCCCTAACTGCATCTGTGAGCACATACTGGGCTCAGCTGTCACAAACAAATGATGGTCCTGTTTGACTTTGTGTTCACAATAAAAGTGTAGTTTCTTAGTGAATGTCCTGTATTGGTCTTTAATCGGAAATCAGCTATTCATTTTCTTCTTGCCCCTCTGAGAAAACGGTGAGGCAGTTGTGTCCTTCAGGTATGTCCTTTCCTAACAGAAATGACAAGAAACATATGACATTATTGCAGAGCAAGTGTGTTATTTATGAAAGGTTTGTTTATTTAGCGGCTGTAGAAATAATATATTTTTTAAATTTTAATGTGTTTTTTTAATTCATCACTTTGTACTACAAAGATAATCAGATTATGAATGAACAGTCTGCAGTTAATCAACATTAAAATATCTTATTAAATAATATTCAACTACTCGGTTGTCTCACTGCAAGAACCACTTTTACCACGTCTTTTACAGACAATATGTAGAGACAAATGGTAGCAATTCTCACAATGTAAAATAATAATTGCCTTAAATACATTGAAATGTGAAAGCTGATTATAGTTGTTACTTTATCTATTTAAACCAGAACGTTTCTCGATTCTTTGTACAGTATGAAAGGAGTCTTTGTACCTTTGAGTCCATGCTGAAGTTCACTGATGTTAGGAATAGGTCTGTCTCTCGTGGTCAGCATCCTCTGGTCTGTCTGCATCACCTGGAAACTTTAAACAAACAGATGTATATGTAAAGTAACAATGTGTTGGTCATAGACTTTTTTTTACATGCAAATGTCATGTGATAATCTTTTTGTTATCCTTAAAAAAAGTGCTGGATATCAAAGCCCACACACACGTAAGGGTAAAAGACAAACATCTTCAACAAATGTAATGCAATGAATAAGCTTCATTGTCACAGAAGCACACATAACGTCATATCTAATATTTAAACAAATCATTTCCTTGTCCCTAAAGCATTGACTGAGCTATTTTTCGTCCTCAAATGCAGGCATTAAAGGGATAGTGGAAATCCGCGAATTTTGGGTTTAACTTATGTATTTTTATTAAAAAGAAGCATATTAAACAATTTTTTTTTAATTTCATCCGCCTAGTTTCATTTTATTTTCAATTTTACTGCGCCCTCTCAATGAAACGAAATACTTCGGGAATCGTCGGGAATCTTCGGGTGATGACGAGAGCTCAGGAAGACGGGCACAAACAATGGCGGACATTCAATAGCATTTGCATGTGAATAGCCGACCTTTATTATGGTGAATAGATGTGTTTTGTATGGCTGTAGTGCGACAGAAAAATTCTACGTGACACAACGACATTGGATTAACCTTGAGATGCGTTTTTATTCCGTTGAACACAACTTTTGATCACAAATCAAAAAAGGTAAGACGTAATTATTGTAATATTTTTGGAACCGGATGTTGTTTACTTTCTCTTTTCTGGCTGATAGCTCCAGGAATTCGAGGTCTTACAGTGATGATGACATTACATGTGTGGAATCTGTGGAGTCTCAGCTTTAAATCGTATATCTTGTTTGTGCAGTTAAGATAGTAATAAGGGCATTTCTACCGTGTGTTGTGTGTAAAAAAGCGTTAGCATTAGTTAGCATTGTTTCACTCAATGCTAATTCAAAGGCTTGGTATTACCCTTGTGTTTTTTCTAGCTAACAATTGTTCTTATTGTCAGTTAGCGGAGTTTCTTACCTTTAAAAGGGTATGAAACATTAATAGTTTCATAAATGTCCACTGGGGGGACCTTCGGCCTTAACTGGTTAACAATGATTAATATTTGTAAAGGCTACAGGTGATCTTAAGATGCGTGAGCTATGCTTAGGGACCTACCAGTCAAGATTATTTGTGCGTAGGGGTGCATCATCTGGCTCCTGGTCATCCTCGCCATTGCCCATGCCGTGAACCATCACCTCGGGCTCGGGCTCGAACAAATAAGGACGTAATGGTCCATCGTCTGGTTCAATATTGTCACCATCGTCGCTTACTGAACCGGATTCAGATTCAGTTCCTAAAACGACATTTTCGTAGGAAAGCCGAGAGGATGTTTCTGACTCGCTATCATCACTGGATACCTCGTACAATCCTTCTTCTTTGTCTGGTATATTTGCCCTTCCACGTTCATTCTGCATAGACGCCATGGTTTGTTATCGTATCGTCTTCCTACGTTTTCGTCACTTCCGGTTTGGCTGAGTCGAACATTTCGTTTCTAAAAAACTTCGGGGAAGCTGCAATAAAGTGCTTCTAACATGCGTACGGCAATTATTATATTTTTTTAATCAGGTGTGATTGTTTTGGTACGTAATTATGCTTGTATATAAGTTAAAACGAAACTATTTGAGGTTCCATTTCCACTATCCCTTTAAGTGACAGTAACTTTTTTAATTTTCAAAGAAGTTCAACAAAACAAGATTTCAAGAACAATTTTGTACATGTGAATAATAACTGTTGAACATATTGCACATCCAGGTACGGTGGAACTGACTGTGGGTTCCCAGTCCCACAAGACGACTTGGGCCAGTTTGTTCTGGACTCGACCAACAGTCCATGTGGAGACGACCACTTCCAGGAACACTTTGAGAACCTTCAAAGAACGAGTGGTCTAATGCAACCCTTGACCTGGGAGTCTTGTGTTGCGAACTATATAACTATGAAGAACATGGCTAATTTGTAAATTGTAAGCCCAGCTTTCAATAAAGTCCAAAACCAGGCGAATTTTGGATTCCAAAGTCCATGTTGCTTTCAAACTGTTCGTAGGTGCTTGACATTGGTATTTCTATTGTGTTTGAGCAGGTTCTGCCGATTGGAAAGCGAGATGTCCGGTGAAAAAACAATTGAGGTCTCGGCTGGATTCCAGATGGTGGCAGGGTGTTTAATCCTGTTGAGAACATCAGGATGTCACTGAGGAGGAGTCCTGTTCGTTTTTCTGAGAAGAAAAAGTAGTATTACGGTTTTTTGTTTTTTTTAAATATCAAGATTGATAGAACTGCCATTAATAGCTAATTATTTTAAGATGTGAACAATGTTGGAACTCAAATAAACCTTCTTTTTCAAGGAGATAGTCTCTCCAAAATCCCAGCACCCTGGTTTCCTCATGTCGTCTCGAGCTTCCTTTTTCGCTGCTGTGCTGAACCTCAAAGACTTCCTCCAATGTGGCAGAAGTCAGCTCTACCACACAGCACATAAAAGCTCTGAAAACACTTCCATGCTGCTCCAAAGCATGAATCACATCCAAGGCTTCAAGTCCGTCTTTGAATCTAGGAAACATTAGACACAAAGACCCATCAATCTACGATCACCTATCGCCAGGTTAGTAACAATATCTGAAAAAAGTATTAGAACCAATTTTAGATCTACTTCATTTCTTAATGACCTCTGGGTTTTACATGCAGTAAAGTAAATCAATCAATAATCTTTACATATTTCTGTTTCATATTTAAATGTTTGACCAAGACCAATAACATATATTAAATAAAGTCAGAATAACTTCTGTGAAAGTAACTAAACTGATAATAAAATGATCTCCAAATGCAGGATTGTCCAGTGAATCGATAGCTGCAACTCTACCCTTGTAAACCCTCAATCGCCTTGGTATCACAATTGGTCATAGAACGCTTGATTTAGGCTTTTCTTATCTTTAAATGTTTGTTCCGAGCTTCAATACACGTTAAACTGCTTTTAATAATTTTAATGATGTTTTAAATGCAATTTTTGTATTTTCTGAAAGCACTTGGAATTGCTTTGTGTCTGAATGGTGCTAATATAAATGATAACCTTGCTTGAACATCTAAATGGTGATGTGTTTGACTCGATAACAATTAAAATATATTGAACTTAGGTTAAACGGTGCAGAAACATTACCTTCGTCTGGCAAAACGGTAAATGATGTACCACTGCATGAAATCCTTTATGATTGCGTTTTTGCCATCCACACCATCAGGGTACTGCAAGCAACCGGCAGTCTGCAACAAGCTGGAATTTCTGTGGATTGATGCATGTCGTTCCTCCAGTGTAGCTGCGCTGGATATCTAGGGTAGAAAACAATCATAATCCATAAACATAAATCAATATGCTGTCAAACTCGCATATGAAGGACGACCGGTAATTTATCAAATTAAAAATATATATTCTCAATAATTGTAACATCTTCTTTCCCTCCTATGGTGTTCGGTTTACATCTGACTGATTTACTACTCTCATTAAATAGTATCATAAATGTAAGCTTCTTCTTCTTCTTCTTCTTCTTCTTCACTTAATTACCCCAATCATTTTTGACCAGCTGCAGAGGGGAGCAAGAATTATGAATGATACCTAATGTAAGGAGTTGCATTAATCAAAGTGGCAAGATATTAAAGCGTATCTATATCCATGTCATGAAAGGAGGAATATATTTTTAATATTGTTCTAAGATGACAAACTTGTTCTTACTCGTGTACATTTGTTTTCATCAATGATATTTGTAATGACAGTTAGGTATGATAAATAAATACGGCATCATTTCTAATGGTTTGCCATAACGGCTAGCTAACCTGTAGTGTCTCTACTTTAAAGAGTTCTCTCCTGTTGATGTTCAGGTGTATATCAGTATATAGTGTCTCTACTTTAAAGAGTCCTCTTGTAAGGGTTTAGTGTTTTGTCTATCTGTCTGTTGATGTTAATTGCTCTGCTCTCTCTCTCTCCAGGTGTCGGCACTTCCTGTCCGTGTGGCACCTGCTAGGCTGATGGTTGTTCCCGCCCCTAATTGTGTCCACCTGTGTCCCATTACCTAAAGTGTATATTTGGTCCGCCTCTCCCTTTGTCTGGTGTTGGTTCGTCTTGTCTTTTCGTCATGTCCATGCCTGTAGTCCATAGACCTGTTCTTGCACTACCTAGTAGAACCTAGAGATTCTTGGAGAGTCCTAGTAGATCCTAGAAGTTGATTGGAAAGCTTTGTATTCTTGGAAATAAAGAATATTACAAAGCAACAGAATCGAGCATCTGAGTTCTTACGAGCCCATCGTGTCACCTCTCCTGCTGATGTTCAGGTGTATATCAGTATGTAGTGTCTCTACTTTAAAGAGTCCTCTCCTGCTGATGTTCAGGTGTATATCAGTATGTAGTGTCTCTACTTTAAAGAGTCCTCTCCTGCTGATGTTCAGGTGTATATCAGTGTGTAGTGTCTCTACTTTAAAGAGTCCTCTCCTGCTGATGTTCAGGTGTATATCAGTGATGTAGTGTCTCTACTTTAAAGAGTCCTCTCCTGCTGATGTTCAGGTGTATATCAGTGTGTAGTGTCTCTACTTTAAAGAGTCCTCTCCTGCTGATGTTCAGGTGTATATCAGTATGTAGTGTCTCTACTTTAAAGAGTCCTCTCCTGCTGATGTTCAGGTGTATATCAGTATGTAGTGTCTCTACTTTAAGAGTCCTCTCCTGCTGATCTGATGTTCAGGTGTATATCAGTAGTGTAGTGTCTCTACTTTAAAGAGTCCTCTCCTGCTGATGTTCAGGTGTATATCAGTGTGTAGTGTCTCTACTTTAAAGAGTCCTCTCCTGCTGATGTTCAGGTGTATATCAGTATGTAGTGTCTCTACTTTAAAGAGTCCTCTCCTGCTGATGTTCAGGTGTATATCAGTATGTAGTGTCTCTACTTTAAAGAGTCCTCTCCTGCTGATGTTCAGGTGTATATCAGTATGTAGTGTCTCTACTTTAAAGAGTCCTCTCCTGCTGATGTTCAGGTGTATATCAGTGTGTAGTGTCTCTACTTTAAAGAGTCCTCTCCTGCTGATGTTCAGGTGTATATCAGTATGTAGTGTCTCTACTTTAAAGAGTCCTCTCCTGCTGATGTTCAGGTGTATATCAGTATGTAGTGTCTCTACTTTAAAGAGTCCTCTCCTGCTGATGTTCAGGTGTATATCAGTGTGTAGTGTCTCTACTTTAAAGAGTCCTCTCCTGCTGATGTTCAGGTGTATATCAGTATGTAGTGTCTCTACTTTAAAGAGTCCTCTCCTGCTGATGTTCAGGTGTATATCAGTAGTGTAGTGTCTCTACTTTAAAGAGTCCTCTCCTGCTGATGTTCAGGTGTATATCAGTATGTAGTGTCTCTACTTTAAAGAGTCCTCTCCTGCTGATGTTCAGGTGTATATCAGTATGTAGTGTCTCTACTTTAAAGAGTCCTCTCCTGCTGATGTTCAGGTGTATATCAGTATGTAGTGTCTCTACTTTAAAGAGTCCTCTCCTGCTGATGTTCAGGTGTATATCAGTATGTAGTGTCTCTACTTTAAAGAGTCCTCTCCTGCTGATGTTCAGGTGTATATCAGTGTGTAGTGTCTCTACTTTAAAGAGTCCTCTCCTGCTGATGTTCAGGTGTATATCAGTATGTAGTGTCTCTACTTTAAAGAGTCCTCTCCTGCTGATGTTCAGGTGTATATCAGTATGTAGTGTCTCTACTTTAAAGAGTCCTCTCCTGCTGATGTTCAGGTGTATATCAGTAATGTAGTGTCTCTACTTTAAAGAGTCCTCTCCTGCTGATGTTCAGGTGTATATCAGTGTGTAGTGTCTCTACTTTAAAGAGTCCTCTCCTGCTGATGTTCAGGTGTATATCAGTGTGTAGTGTCTCTACTTTAAAGAGTCCTCTCCTGCTGATGTTCAGGTGTATATCAGTGTGTAGTGTCTCTACTGTTAACATTCAGGTAAATGTGTTACCAATTTGTGTTATTTGTTGTGCATGACCGGAAGCCAATAGCGTAACAGGTTAACCTGTGTCTCTCTTCCTTCTTTCTCTCTCTGATAAATACATCTCCTTTAACAGTCAGCATATTCCTGTGGATGAGGAAGGACACCAGTATGCTGTTGTTTACTCCTTGTTGCAGATAGTCAGAACATTACTCCAAGAAAGCTCGAGCTAAGACAACTCGCACAGGAGGCATGGTAGCCGGGCGTCTGCCTAATGAATACATGTAAATGTGAGAAGACGTCGGAATCAATGAGAAGGGATATCAGCCGTAATGCTAGCCGACAGTGGATGCGCCTCACATGCAAATTCTGGTGACTCCGATAGACCAGGCTGTGCACATGGCTGTGGAGTGTGTTGGGCCACAATGGAGCAGATTTGGGAGGCAGAGGAGTGAGGCTGTCTTTGGCAGGTGACCCCGGGTGATGCACACAAGTGGTGGTGCAGTCACCCCTGCCTGTTACCCAGTGGGAGCTGGATGTCAGGTTTGTTGAAGGCTTGTACTCACAGCTTGAATCCCTGTTGATGATCCTTCCCTTTGTGTGGAGCCCAGATAACTCACTGTATTTATTGACTCGCTTTGACATCTACACTCTACTTTCTTCCCTCAGAAGTGAACAGCTTTAAAGGGATTTCCCTTTGGTTTCAGATATCTTCAAAGCTTTAATTAAAATACTTTATAGTTATATGCATCCTAATCTTATGCAGACACATTTTCCTATATTGATGGAGAGCTAGTCTTTATGAACAATAATAAAATAACGATAAAATGGACACATCGGAAATACTAAAATGGAGCCTGACTTACATTTTTTAAATCCATATACAGCATTTCATTAAACAAGTTCTTAGATTCAACCTCTGCAAATCACCCATGAAGGGTAGGCCCCTTTGGCGTAATCCAGAATGTGTCCTTGTATTCAAGTCAAAACATCGCTGCTTTTAAAGAAACAAACAACATATTTTTACCAACATTGAAAATGAGTACAAATATACACAGAACATGATGCTAAAATTGTCCTGCTAGATTCACAGGGACCTGAAGGAGAGCGGAACTTTGCCAGGCTTCCATTTGTTAATATTTATTTTGGATTCAACACCATGTAGCCTGTCATCCTCGCCAACAAACTGGTCACTCAAACACCCTGAAAACCAACACAAGCTCACTACAAGGGTGTTTTCCTATCCCTCCTCCTGTTCATGCTCGATGGTGACTGTGAAAGCATCCATCCAAACTGCCAACTCATTAAATGTGCTGACTACACAGCGCTTCTCTCAGGCTCTGAGCAGGAACACGGTTCTTCTCTATGATTTTAACGTTAAATGGTGCAACAATACAATGCTGGATTTCAATTTCACTCAGAGGTGGTTGGTGGTTGATTTCAGGATGCAGTCCAGACAAGGAGTTGGATGGTGTGAATATCTTGGAATCATCTTTGACATTTGAGCAAAACACAGAAGCCTTATCAAGAAAGCAAACCTGCATCCACATGCTTTCAAGAACTGAATTCCAAAAACCCTTCTACAGTTCTTCAGCGAGTACATTCCGTGTTTCTCCTTCACATGTTGGTTGCCATCACTCACTGTCATAACCAGAAACCGTCTCCATACCACAATTAACACCTGTTCCTAAAACTGGAGTGCACATTACGAAGCCTCATTACTAGCTACCACTGCGTGTGCCTCGCATGTTTTAATGTTGTGAGACTATGTGTGTCATCACAGCGTTAATTTGGCTCTCTGTTGAAAGATGCTGTCACCTCAACAGCGCGCAAGATTCACAGTCACGGAACTTAACAGGTTTGTAGTTCAGATCAAAATGTGGAGCCAGTGCAAAGGTGAGCATGGCAGTGGTGCATAAGTAAACGGAAAGGTAATGAGGAAAGGACCTACAATTTATGCCATGGCCTGAATTGGTATTGCGGGTGGCCTCTAGGTCTGTGAGCAGCAGGGACCATGACATCATGTAGGATAACACCCGTAATCTCCACCCACAGATCCAGATGCCTTCTTTCGTGGTGTAGCCTACGCAGTTTCTCTAGAAATGGGCACAGAGCTCTGTTCATTCCATAAGACCTCCGCTGGACTAAGGATCTCAAGAACAATAATTAGCTCTATCTGGATCTGCCATGTAGTCTTTTCCCCTACTTATTATTTCATTTATCATTATTCTTTTTAATAACGACCTACTTACATTTTAAATATAACTGTACTATCAGCTCAACACTGTTCCATACAGCTATTTGCTTATAATTGTCTATAATTACTCAAGCCTAAAATGGGTTCGCTTTCTTGGATTTATGACGTTTATTGGATAAGGTGAATTGGAAGAGCCAGATGACCGACATGTATTCAGTCCAGTCTATGACACTGTCCTGCAGTGTGGGACAAGGGGTCAACATTGCATTTGTATACACTTTCCCTCTAAACCAGTGTTTGCATATTTTCTTTATTGTAAGATCCCTCTTGTACTAAAAGGGTTTTAACATTACCAGATTGTTTGTTATATAATTGTACGATGAAGCTGTTTTTAATTAGATTCATAACAAATCAATTGCTCACTTTGTGTAAAAGTTCTAATGCTGGGATTGATCATTCCACAACTCATTAGCGACAAAGCCCTACATTTGTGAAACACAAAGTGACAAGTTTAACAGCTTTTAGGGGATGGCAGTGAATCACTAAACTGTCCAGGCTGACTGTACGGCTGCATCTTGTTGGTTTTCAATGAGCTCGCTTCCTTTCTCCCCTTATTATCTCCTGTCTCCCACCGTGAAGTAAATGGGAGGAGGTTAAAAAACGAAAGCACGTAAGTGAAGGACAGAGAGAGGAGACGTGAACAGAATCATGACACCAGTTTCCTTTGGTTGTCTCTTTCACAAACATACATTATACTTAATAAAGCATTTTGATCGTTTACATTTCTTAATATTATGTATTAAACAGAATTGCGTTGCTAGGCAACAGCATGGGTCCATTCTTACTTCCTGTCAGCTGATGCATTCGCTGACATCAGCAAATGGAACCTTCAGATTGATGACATCATCTTGGCCTTGATGCTTTAGAAGTTTGCAGGTCTCAGCTGTGACGGTGAATTCATCAGAGCGTCAGAGCATCAGTCAGAAGGCAGAAGGAACTGTTCCAGCTAGTGTCAGATCATTGCAGAAATAGGTTTTGTAGCAAGCTAACATTAGGTAGACTTGCACGTCTATTTTAACGAGATAATCTAAGTGAACTCCATTTTTGTGGCTTTAATTCAGTTGAACAATTATATTCAGTTTGCTTAACAACAGGTCATTTCATCACCGCAGTAGAGATGGAGATGAACAATAGAGATGAGATGGAAGTCAAGCTCGAGATTCTGCAAAAAGAAAATCAGGAAATCAAGTTGTTGCTGGAGCAGGAAAGGACTTTAAGGAATAAGCTTGAGATTGAAGGCGCTAAGAAGAAGGAAGCGATGCTGAAAGCATATACAGAGAATGCAGCTGAGCTATCTGGGCAAAATGTGAACGTGAAAGTCCAGGAAATTGAGCACAACGTCTTGCGCGTCAACAATGAGGACCTGAACATGAAATACGGAATGCTCCAGAGGTCACACAAGAAGGTCGAAGCAGAGATGGCTGCCTTGAGAAAGGCAAACGCGGGACTCAAACAACTGAAAGAACCCTGTGTTGAAGAGAACGCTGTAGAGATAGCTTCTTTGCGTGAGAGAAACCAGGAACTCCATTTACAAAAGGAACGTTATGTTGAAGAGAACGCTGTAGAGATGGCTTCTTTGCGTGAGAGAAACCAGGAACTCCAACAACAGAAGGAGCGTTGTCTTGAGGAGAAATCTGTAGAGATTGCTGCTTTGCGGGAGAGAAACCAGGAACTCCATTTACAAAAGGAACGTTATGTTGAGGAGAAAACTGTAGAGATGGCTGCTTTGTGTGAGAGAAACCAGGAACTCCATTTACAAAAGGAACGTTATGTTGAGGAGAAATCTGTAGAGATAGCTGCTTTGTGTGAGAGAAACCAGGAACTCCATTTACAAAAGGAACGTTATGTTGAGGAGAAGGATGCAGAGATAGCTGCTTTGCTGAAGGAAAACCAAACACTGAAACAAGAGAAGGAGCATTGTGTGGAGAAGGAGGCGAAGGTGGACAAGAAGGAAAATGAGGTGAAGGTGGAACCAGAAGTGAGGCACAATGTTAAAATGAATGCCCTGAAAATTGAGCAGAAAGTTTTGCGCGGAAACTATGAGGAACTGAACATGAAATATGAAAAGCTCCTCAAGATGCATCAGAATGACAAAGCAGAGGATCTCAAACAACTGGAAGAACCCTGTGTTGAGGAGAAGGATGCAGAGATGGCTGCCTTGCAAAAGACAAACCAGGAACTCAAACAAGAGAAGTTGCGTTGTGTTGAGGTGAAAAATGCAGAGATAGTAGTTTTGCATGAGAGAAACCACGAACTGGAAGAACAGAAGGAACGCTTTGTTGAGGAGAAGGATTCAGAGATAGTCACTTTGCATGAGAGAAATCACGAACTGGAACAACAGAAGGAACGTTTTGTTGAGGAGAAGGATGCAGAGATAGTCACTTTGCATGAGAGAAACCACAAACTGGAAGAACAGAAGGAACGCTTTGTTGAGGAGAAGGATGCAGAGATAGTCACTTTGCATGAGAGAAACCACAAACTGGAAGAACAGAAGGAACGCTTTGTTGAGGAGAAGGATGCAGAGATAGTCACTTTGCATGAGAGAAACCACGAACTGGAAGAACAGAAGGAACGCTTTGTTGAGGAGAAGGATGCAGAGATAGTCACTTTGCATGAGAGAAATCACGAACTGGAACAACAGAAGGAACGCATTTTTGTTGAGAAGGATTCAGAGATAATGACTTTGCTTGAGAGAATCCGTGAACTCCAACAAGTGAAAGAACGTTGTGTTCAGGAGATAGCCGCCTTGAAAACACCACGGTGGAGAAGATTCATTAATTTCCTTTCTTGTATCGTCCCAGATGTCCCCGACGACTACCAAGAAGGCAGCCTTGACAGTCAAACTTTAGAAAATATGATAAACAACAACAGATTTTAGTAAGACATAAAAACATTTCCAGAACAGACTAAAGCTCAAAATGAGTGAGCAATAACATATAATAACATTCAGTCAGGATATATATTTAAACAGTTAACATTTATTAGATCAATTTATTAAACATCAACAAAGGTTCCAGAAGATACTTAAGCGGCTAGAGTATCATTAGTATAGTATAGTAGTAGTAGTAATAGTAGTAGTAATAGTATAGTTTTTTTTTAGGCTAGAGTCTAGCCTCTAGGGGCAAAACAATTACCTTCATTTTAAAATTCCTTCGCTTCTAGCACTCCTAAAAAACAGGAAAAGGGTAGCTAAATAAAGATCTGGTTAAATTTAAAAGGTCACCCAGAACATACTGTAGGCGATTTCAAGCCATTACAGTTAAAAAAAACCCTGATCCATTACGCATACAAATAAATCCAGTAGAGACTTAAGCGGCTAGAGTATCGTTAGTATAGTATAGTAGTAGTAATAGTAGTAGTAGTAGTAGTAGTAATAGTATAGTTTTTTTTAGGCTAGAGTCTAGCCTCTAGGGGCAAAACAATTACCTTCATTTTAAAATTCCTTCGCTTCTAGCACTCCTAAAAAACAGGAAAAGGGTAGCTAAATAAAGATCTGGTTAAATTTAAAAGGTCACCCAGAACATACTGTAGGCGATTTCAAGCCATTACAGTTAAAAAAAAAACCTGATCCATTACGCATACAAATAAATCCAGTAGAGACTTAAGCGGCTAGGGGTGGCCAACCCGCGGCTCTCGAGCCGCATGCGGCTCTTTGCCTAGTTTCATGCGGCTCTTCAGTTCATATCGAATTTTATATGTGTGAGTTTGGGGGAGAGACACTGACTCCTGACTAGTGTTGCACGGTGTACCAATACTTGAAAGGTACCGCAATACCCTGCCGTTAAAAACGGTACGATTCCTCAGTTTCATTAGTAACGGTACTTTAAGAATGACGGAGAAAAGTACTCCGGTGAGAAAGCGCTGTTTAATAAGAGCCGTGTGGGTTCAGCGCTCTGCTTCCACTCCCTGCACTGCAGCCGTGCCTGCAGCCCCTCCCTTCTCAAGCACGTTCTAAGTCCCTCCCCTCTCTCGTGCATGTGCTAGCTGCCAGAGCATGTGAGAAAACGAGAAGCATGGCTGCAAGTGGGAGTGCAACTGCCGCTGCGCCTCGGCCTGTCTGTAAGACATGTATTAATTTTATTTAATACGAATTCTTGTCATTTATTTTATTTATTGTTCTCATTGTTTAAAAGTTTGTGTTATGGTTCTGGTGTGAAATAAAGCACAATAATTACATTTAAGACTGTTTCCCTTTTTTTAAGAAAAGTATCGAAAAAGAATCGGAATCGCAATTCTTGACTTGGTATCGAAACCAAAATGTTGGTATCGTGACAACACTACTCCTCAGAGTTAAACCTGATATTTAGTAGGTCTGTTAAGTATCGAATGCTGATAATTCTGACCTAATTTGGCCGGTCAAAGTTGTTTGGGCTCGGATAAAATCGCTCCGTTACTTTCGTCCCGTGTTACTTTCGTCCCGGCTCTCCCTACGTGTGTATGTGTGGTGTCAGGTGTCAGTATGAGAGGATGCCAGCGCGTCTAATTTGGATGTGGCCCAAGAGCCAATCACAATAATACCTGCGATGCAGTGAACCAATCACCTTTGAGGGGGGGAAAACCTATCGTTGATTAAACATTATCCAGTGTTTCCCCTACCATTGTCTTGGAGGGGCGCTGCACCCCGCCAACGGAGCCCCGCGCCCCCCCCTGAAATTCAAGGTGTTTAAAAAATATATATAATTTTTTTTTTTTAAATATATTATATAGCACCAAATTGCAAATAATCTATAACTACTGTCACTTTTCACATTGAACATGAGCTCTTTTATTAAATAAACTAAACGCTTTCATTTCAAGTTGTGAGTTTAGTGTTTTTGACCCTAAGAAACACTGATGCATTAATCAATAACAATAATCCACAGCTCCTCTCTCTGCTCCAGAGGATTTAAAAAAATATATATCCCAATGCCCAAGCCCGCCTTAACCTGCCATCAGGCCCTGGGGCTTTTTTTTTTTTTTTGGTTTTGTAGGTCCCCTATTTAAACAACAAATCAAAGTCCTTTATAGCCTCGGCAGGCTCTGTGATCGCACTTCTCCACTCTGCCACGCGCGCCTGGTCCTCTCCTCCAGATGAGTGACGTATCGGGCCTCCCACACGTATCTGTCCGGTTGCCGTTGGCTCCCCTCCACGTAGCAAGTCCTCGTCGTCCTCTCCATCTCCTCCATCATCCCTCCTGTCTGTTTTTCCTCTCCCGCTACTCCATCGCTATCAGAAGCAGACGGCCTACTTGGCTCCGAGGCCCCGCGGCCGGCACCGCTGCCGCTCGGTACAGAACTCATCTGTCCTTCCTCCTCATCCTGGCCTACAGGTTTAAAACAACCTGTAAGTTTCGGCATTTTTTGTAATAGCTGCTTGTCTCAAAACTACTTTTCCCTCAACAATTTCCTTTTCCGAGTGCCACTCTCAAACTTTTTCTTCTCAAACTTTTTCTCCTAAACAACCTTCATCTGTCACTCAATCACTCGCAATTTCAATAAATCACATGTGAAACATATTCTCATTCTGATTGGCTGTTAGGTGGTGCCCACTGACTGTTTCGGAGTCATCATTTTTGAGAAAAATCTCTGGAATCCATCGATCTGATTGATTAGCGGAGCAAATTATCAAAATACTACGGAGGGAAGATATTTTCGTTTGGATTACTGGTCTGGGGGAAGCTCACAAGTGTGTGTGTGTGTGTGTGTTTGTGTATTTTTGCGTTTGTGTGTATTGTGTTTGTTTCCCGGGGAAAACACTCACGAGAAACACCGGCTGTTGTCATGCCTGCTGTTAGTATTATGCCGAAGCTTCAAAGTTGTATTTATCATCTGAATTTGCCGAAACAAGTTTAATATTCTGAAAGCCAAGACTTTGTTTATTTGAAACCAGATGAAAACAAACTGTCACGGACCCTGCCGTGTTATCTAAGATTACTATACGCCTTACATTCATAATTTCAGCGGAGGGAGGGGAACAGCAGAACAGCAGAGTGTCTTCTTCCCTTTACAAGCTTCAAAAATGTATTTATCGTGTGATTTTGGAAATAAAAGTTTAATATTCTGAAAGCCAAGACTTTGTTTATTTAAAAAAAAATTAAAAACATCCGAAAAAAAAAAAAAATTGGCTCATGATAGGCCCCTGATCTCCGTAGGCCCCTGGGCTTCAGCCCAGGTCAGCCCGTGCATTAAGGCGGCCCTGCCAATGCCACAAAAATGCATCAGTGACGTGGTTGAAATCTTGTCTCCAGAAAACAAAAAACTGAAACAAGCGGTATCAGTGTGTTTGATGTGGCTCTTTGCAGTAACATAGAAAAAATGTGGCTCTTAACCTCTGACTGGTTGGCCAACCCTGGGCTAGAGTATCGTTAGTATAGTATAGTAATAGTAGTAGTAGTAGTAGTAGTAATAGTATAGTTTTTTTTAGGCTAGAGTCTAGCCTCTAGGGGCAAAACAATTACCTTCATTTTAAAATTCCTTCGCTTCTAGCACTCCTAAAAAACAGGAAAAGGGTAGCAAAATAAAGATCTGGTTACATTTAAAAGGTCACCCAGAACATACTGTAGGCGATTTCAAGCCATTACAGTTAAAAAAAAAACCCTGATCCATTACGCATACACATAAATCCAGTAGAGACTTAAACTCACAGTGATTGTGCAGTATTGCCCTCTAGAGAAGAACAACATCTAGTTAGATTCAGTCTTTACATCCATTACAAAATGTCATCTGTGGAAGCCGTGGCGCTGTAAAAAGCACGACCAATCATCTGAGCCGGCCCGGCAAAAATAACTGGATGGCCTACCTGCCTGTCAGCATTCCATCTGTGCACAAACTTATCTTGTGCCCTCATTGGTCATGTGCGCGTTCGTGTGTGTTGGAGGAGGGGCTCTGTAAGGAAGTGGCAGATTTTTTCCGGCTGTGTATTTTCAAATTCTAGCGCATTCTAGCTGGTTTCTCCAAAATTACCTACCCCACCTTTAACAGCTATTAGATCTGGTTAAAAAAAAAAAAAGATTCGTTAAATATAGAAATAGTTTCCAGAAGAGTCTCAGTGTGATATGCAGTTTTAGCCACTAGGGGCAAAAAAATAACCTTAATTAAAAAAAACTAAAACAATTCCTTCGCTTCTATCACCCCTAAATAACAGGAACATTTCAGGATATATATTTAAACAGTTAACATTTATTAGATCTGTTTAAACATTAACCTGTTAAGCAACATTTTCACAAAACTGTGTCTCAGGGCTTCTTAACATTTGACAACCTATTAATGTGTCATACCCACTTAACGGGAAGACACTCAGCTAACTGACGATATGAACCATTTCTACCGAAACAAAACACAACTCTAACACCAAGCGTATGAATTAGCACTAAGCGAAAGAGTGCTAACGCACTTAACTCACGGTAGAAATATGTTATACTTCATCGAATCTGCACAAACATATCATAAGCTGAGATTCCACAGATTCCAATGATATAAGTATCATCACTGTGTATGAGAGCTTCCGGTTTTGGACATGCTGGCTGCGCATCACTCTCATTCACCAATGGTAATGTTTAGATGGATTTAGGAACTTCCTCTCGATTCTATTGGCTCTAACGGTTCAAAAGAGGTGTCAATCACCAACATCGACCAATGGGTTCCAGAGATATGGCAAATACACCCAAATGACCCCATACTGTAGGTGGGTTTTCTTTTTCTAAATCTCTCTAAAAAGGTCAAATTTCACTTGTTTTAATCAATCTTGATACAGGGTACTTATTATATGTTATAGTCTGGATTCCTAAAGCTTTTTGTCTCCAATCCCATAATTCAAGGGTGGTTTTCACCCCCTTCTACCTCACACAATTACTGCAACTCCGCACACCCCCGAAGCACAACACCCGGTCAGCTACAAGCATCCTGTTAAGCCCCTGTCACACTGTCCCGAAATGTACACCCGATGGACACACGAATATTGAATTGTGAATTTCGCACGAAGATGGCCCCGAACCACACACAAAGGCAACATTTACATTACATTTAAGACATACAACTGCAACGAAAGTAACACAAACAATTATGTTACAGTACTATGATACTGTACTGATATCTTCAGACTTTGTTCTTTACTTTCTCCGTCTTTATATGTAGAAGATATTACGTTTTCTCCGTCATGTTGTTGTTTCCACTAGCAACAACAACTTCCTGTCAACTCGCCTTCAAAATAATATATGATATCCTTTCAGTTTCACAGAACACAAATTGGGTATTTACATAATATATTTACTCATTTTGTTGTGCAATAAACAACCCGATGGACACACGATAAAGGAAATGTTCAAATTCGGCTCTGATCGTAGCAACATCGGGCCATTCGTGAGGGCATCTTAAGCCTTCGTATGACCGCCGGTGGAGTTTCTCAGGCTCCGGTGTTACCGTTTAACTGGTTACACCGGGGAACTCGTTACGTTACGTTAACGGTAGGAATGGGGCGTGTACTTTGAGGAGCCATTGTCGAATAACAGAAGGAAATACACATTTCGATCGCTTCTTTTGTTGTTTACATTTATCTTTTGGGATATTTGGCTCCATGGGGAACACTTTGATGCACATTCAGTACCAGTGTGTGAGGTTGTGGTTGGGGATGCCGATATCCGGACGCGTAGCTACAGCGAG